TTGCAGTACTGTGCCTTCAGCCAGTAATTATAGCCTCAGGTACTACGCAGCCTTGGCTGTGAATGATCTGGCTGATCTTGGGCAGGGGCACACTAGCTAGCAAACTGTCTTCCTCATCCAGACACAGATAGGTATCTTCCTAATTTAGGTGCTGATATGTAACTTCTTGTTGTTACACTGTTTTGCTTTTGCTCTCCAAATAGTACCACATTTACCCCAGCTGACAAGTTGAAGGTGATCCAGCAGACTTTTGAAGAGATCTCTCAGAATGTACTTGAGACTCTTCAGGAAGATTTTCTGTGGTCCATGGATGACTTATTTCCTGTTTTTCTCTATGTGGTGCTACGAGCCAGGTAGGCACCAGGAGTGGCATCAGTCATAAGCTGAGTATAGGCAGTATGAGGACTTTTACCTCTATTAAACACTGCTGCTTCTCATTATAGGACTAATTTCTAGCTTTGTGTAACTTAGTAAATTTTCCATTTTGGCCTTTTGCTTTGGCCTGAAAGAATTCTGAACAGTTGACTGTGAAATGGCTATGACTTCAGAATGAGGTTAGGGAAAAGCATGGGTTTTGCACAACACCATGTAAGTAAAAACATTATAATGGTATCTCTTGTCTATCTCTTCTCTTTCCTTCTCCCCCATGTGACAGGATAAGGAATTTGGGGTCTGAGGTGCACTTAATAGAAGATCTGATGGATCCTTATCTGCAACATGGGGAGCAAGGCATCATGTTCACTACTTTGAAGGTATGAAAATCATTCAGGGTTATTAATAGATTTATTTGGAAATTAATCAGCTTTGAGCAATGATGATCAGCTTAGGAGTTGTTTGAACGTTAGGTTGTAAATTCTTTGACATTTTAATTGAATTTTTTAGCTAGGATGAGCAAGGAAACTTAACTGGTGCTTAGGATAATCTACCAATTGCAGGTACTGTTGATAAAATGGTGCAATGTGCAAATGTACTCTATTCGGTTGTAACACTGGTCGCTGTTGACTGTTCTGAATGCTCACCTGGAGCTTGGCGTTCCCCTGCAACTTAATAAACTTTATTCTCTATAAAAACTGAAATTAAATGCTGCTTTGGGGATAGCCATTCCAATAAATGTTGAGGTCTAACGTTACATCAAGATGCTTCAGCAATTCAATTTTGGGGGGAAAAAAAAAAATTGACTGTGTCCCTCTCCACATACTACTTGGTATTCTTTTTAAGTGTGGAAAAAGGAAGAGAATCTGTTTTGATGAATATCCTATCGTACGCCAGGAATTCCATAATGGAAATAGGTTGTTTTGTTACCTCAAAGCTGTTCAAACAAGTGGGTCTTGTGACGGTTCAGCTGTGTGGAGCTTTTTTGTGGGGTTGTTTTGGAGGGAGGCTGTTAATCTGAAACTTAAATAAAAATCTTAAGATGAGCTGTTATGTGAACATGATTGTATCTTCTGTCTGTGCAAACTGGAAATAGTTGGGTGCAGAGATTTTTTTCATACCTGTTTTTTATAGTGCTGCAAAAAGGGAAGGTTTGAGTTGGTTAAAATTTATTAAAGAATCTATGTAGTAGAAGCAGAATCTTATTTTCCATGAGTGCAAGTGTTGTCTGAGACATTTATATTAAGTTTCTGGTCATGGCTGACCCAGTGCATATTTGAACCAGCATTAAGGAGTGAATAGCTGTTGGCAGCAGTTCAGGGTATTTATCTAGGTGACAGAAACCTTTGCTTTTCAGTCTGAGTGCTTTTGAAATGCTTAATCCCTGCATCCTGGTCCTGTAAGAAAATAATTTCTTTTTTTGGCCCCTTCTGTCAAAGGGCATAGAAAAACAAAAAAATGTACTTCATCTTGGCAAAGCTGGGAGCTGTGAAAGTATTCAGAGTGCCAAATTGTACTATCTTGCTTCATTAGGAGTTAGACATAATTGGTAACTTAAATTGGTGACTTAATCTCCTCTGGTTCTTTTGGCTAGTTTACATATTAGAAGATTCTCTTGTGTTGTGTATCACTGTATTATCACTGCTTGTAGAAAGCCTGGTCCTCTGTTTTCTTGGATAGAAAAAAAAATAACCTTTTTGTGTATGATGCTTTATCAGCTTGCTGAGAACAGGCGTGTATGCTAAACTGACCTTTGTTTTAATTCAGGCATGTTACTACCAGATTCAACATGAAAAGCTTACCTAGACCATCACTTACAACCTGGCTCTGTGGGATAATCTACTCAGTGGAACTTCACTAATACCCACTTTCTTCCCTGAAATGGCACTTAGAAAATACTCTGGTACAGTTCTGTTGTTACAGATGAAAATATTCAGTTGCTTCTTCTGAACTTTCAGTTTTGAGATTGGAAAACTGCAGCCAGAGGCTACCTATGAAGTGGTGATGAAGCTATAGAAGCTTGGTTTGTCAAGTACTTGCCAAGAAGAAACCATTTCCTATTCTAACAGAAAGATTATTTACTCCTTTTTAAATTAACAATGCTGCAAAAAGGCATGGCATCTACATAGAGTACATGTGAAAGTCTGGACAGCATGGCTTCTAAAGCAGTGGGTTTGTTTTCATTATTCCTGTTGTGTCCACAGAGATGTTTGAAGAGAATGATTTGCACCACGGAACCATTCAGTCTTCCTGAATGAAGCTATTATGTTTGTTTATTTAAAAAATAGAAATATGTTAGTACTTATAAAGGGTAACCTATAGCGTGTTTAGCTGTAAAGGTTTTGCGGCATCTGTGTTAAACAGCATTGCTGAATGCAGTATTAATGGGCTGTTGTGGAAATAATCACACTGTTCTGGACTTCCCTGTTTACTAGAACTATGAATACAGAGGCACTCGCCATTCTTTCTGTTTATGAAATAAAAGACACTGACCACTTCAAATTTTGGCACTGAATTAAATACTTGAACTCTGTAGTGTTCAGTTCCATTACCCTGAGGTCTCTGGAAGCCTGTGTGGTGGTAGAATGGGAACATGCTCTTGACCAAGCTGACCATGGATTAGGTTTGAGACTTTTGCCTGTTAACTTATATGTCGGAGTGAAAAAAGCTAACTTTGCTGCGTTGTTGAACATGTAGAGAACAAGTAATTTCCCTGGGGGATTTTCATGTGCGCGTGTGTGTGTATGTTCTTCTGTGGTTTACGGTTAACTTTATTTATACCAATAACACTAGTGGATAACTTGGGTATTGTAGGTGCTGTTCTTTACCATGGCAGCCTCAAAAAAGGGGGAGAGAGGAATAGACTACAGAATGTTATAATGGCTTGAGTTATGTCAAACTACCATAGATAATGCTAATCATATTTTTGAGATAATAATCATGGCTTGTGTATTGACACCTAAATGGAAAGAAACCGTATGTCAAAATACTGTTTTGAACAGTGACTGTAATGTAGCAATTTTCATAATAAAGTAAAAATTATTTGGTCTTTCTGAAAT